AACAAGTGAATCTTACCTTCATGTTTAATATTATAATAAAGTGAATCTTACCTTCATGTTTAATATTATAATAAAGTGAATCTTACCTTCATGTTTAATATTATAATATACTGATCCTAAAGAACAACAACACTGGTTCCAGATCCTTACGTTATTATTCATTAAACAAGTGAATCTTACCTTCATGTTTAACATTATAATATACTGATCCTAAAGAACAACAACACTGGTTTCAGATCCTTATGTTATTAAGTTGTTGTTCTTTAGGATCAGTATATTATAATATTAAACATGAAGTTAAGATTCACTTGTTTAATGAACAATAACGTAAGGATCTGGAACCAGTGTTGTTGTTCTTTAGGATAAGTATATTATAATATTAAACATGAAGTTAAGATTCACTTGTTTAATGAAACTGGTTCCAGATCCTTACGTTATTATTCATTAAACAAGTGAATCTTACCTTCATGTTCATGTTCTCAATATCACAAGTAAAATTAATTAAGAATAGCCTAATAACGTTGTTTAGATAACGTGGTTAAAAGATAAACAAAGTTTTTAAACACACATACATCTACGATAATGTCTACTTGTCTTTCAAAACAATCAGTATACTAGCTGTTATCACAGAAGTGTCGAGAATCTTGTGTTAGATTATTAATGATTATCATCGTGTTGTGAGTTAAATATGTGCCATTATCACCAAACTGGTTCACTGATAATGTTCACGTAGATTTACTTTTCAACTGAAACTTATTTTTTTTTTTGTAAACTCAACTTATAATGAAATCCAGAAAATATAATACAAATACAGACGTCCATACACTATCTTTGCTTTTACCATTTCTCTGTCCACTTGGTAATTGTTTATGAAACTTATCCAGCCTGTGTTGCAACTTCCTGACTGCAGTATAACAAAGAACGTGCTATGATGTTGTGTGTATATACATTAAAACACCTCTAACTCTTAAGGAATACGGTGTAGTGTAAGTTATCGAGAAGATAAACAATGATGCTAATTAAAACACTAAACTTGGGAATGCTGACATGGACTGTTTGATGGTTAAGGCGTTCGATTCGCAATCTGCGGTTTGTGTCACCAAACAGGCTCGCCCTTCCGGCCATGGGAGCATTATAATAATTACAGACAATCCCGCTATTTGTTGGTAGAAACTTGCTCGAGAGTTGGCGGTGGGTGGTGTTAGCTATCTCCTTTCCTCTAGTCTATCACTTCAAAATTATGAACGGCTTGCGCAGATAGCCCTCGAGTAACTTAGCACGAGGTTCACTAAACAAAACCTAAAGTTATTAAATCTATAGTTAAGACTATAATATTTGTTTTCATCGTTTGGTTAAAGATGGGGAATGTCACCTAAAGTATCATAAATAATTAGCACCCACCGCCCAGTGACTCAGTCTGGGAGCTTATTGGGCTAAAAATCGGGTTTCGATACTCACGATGGGCAGAGCAGAGATAGCCCATTGTGAAGCTTTGTGCATAAGAATAAACAAACAAACAACTTATATTAGATACCTGGGAAGAAATGGTTGTGAATATATATATAAAGGAGCTTTTATTCTGTGTACATCCTAGTGGAAGAAAAAATTGATAAGGCGGGAGCTATAATGTAAAACCATTACTTCACAAATGCCCCCCAGTGGCACAGCGGTATGTCTGCGGACGTACAACGCGAGAACCCGAGTTTCGATACCCGTGGTGGGCAGAGCACAGATAGTCCACTGTGTAGCTTTGTGCTTAATTACAAACAAACAAATACTTCACAAACTTATAACTGGCGAACCGCTGAACCGATTGTCACCAAATTTAGTAGGTAAATTTAAGACTAGCCGGGGAGTAACACGGAAGAAGGGGGGGGGGTATATACATCTAGCTAGTACATTAAAAAACCTTATTAACCACTATCCGAGGTCAGAAACATTCCTTACGATTTTGGGGTTTCGTATTAATATTTGATGGTGTTATAAGTTGACTAATCTTTATCTATAACATAAATAAACAACATGAACAAATTGTATTGTTTGAGCTCAAATACTTTATTTTTTCTTGAGGTTTTTGAATGAAAGTAACAGATAATGTTTCAAAAACATTATCTGTTATTATTATTATTATTAATATTTAATTAATTATTTAATTATTATTATTTTTAACGAACTCAGGTACCACAGAGCTTCCAACGACTGCGCATGTTTTTTGAGCAGTCTGTATGCCAAGTTGTTAGTTGTGGCTGCTTTGGTTTTACTGGTCACCGAGTTTCTTCCAAATCGAATCCCGCTCCTCTTCTTCCAAGTAAGTAAAAACTGGTCATCCATAACCATCAATCGACAAGTCGTTCAGTCTTAATAATAAGTACACTTGTCATAATACATTATTATTAGGCCTATTATATTTTTAACACTGCATTCTTTATCTACTCTCGACCACTACTGCGTTTCTTGTATCCAGGCTGACCTGATGAGCTCTGCATTGAGCGAAACGCGTCGTTGGCAATGAATATGATGAACAGTGTGTGGTTAGAATAATAATATTATCATACAATCTTCTAATTCTTAAAAATCCATAATGGATTAGATAAAGAATGTAGTGTTAAAAATATAATAAACTTAATACTAATGTCATATAATCGTCAGCTTGAAAAAACACATTCACATCATAACAACTAGTATTAATTCAGTTTCGTATATGAAGTTATCTTGCAGTTAAAACTAGGATCGGTCAATCTCTACCATTTTAAGTAGTGATAAATATAGATTTAATAAAATTCCTACATTTCTAGGACTTATTTTTGCCTCCAAAGTGGAAGAACACTGAGGGTTAATCTCACTTTATAAGAACCATGCTCCAGTGCTGTCCTTGGAACTACTTCATCGATCATACTATGTCTGATTACTCACTGTTGTCTAGTATCAACATTTTCTCATTGTAGCAAGCTATTATGGTGCAAGGCGTGGATATTCATTGACCACAAATGTTGAACTCTCCACAGACCTTTAACGATTACGTTTAAGCAGATCAAAAGCACCTAGTTCCGTTGTGAGATTTAATCGATTGGGATTGCTAAGATTCCAGTTTCTTAAACTTCCTTTTTCTTGAAAATATCCATTGATTACTAGGTGCTTCTGAAATCTAGTGAGCCTTCATCAACTTTAAATAATTTTTTATTATGTTCTCAGGGGTAATAAGAGAGAGACCCAGCGTCATCATAACGACTCTCTGGGTCGGAAGATTCTTTTTAGTAACCGGATTGGTATAGCGCAGTGTTTTTCGAAAGTTAGTGTCTGTTGACTCTACACTGATCGTTTAATAATATGAATATCAAATATCTTTTCAAAGAATAGACTACAACTATCATTTTTTTGAACGCTGAGAACCAAATATGCACTTGCTAAATATGTCGTTCGTGGCGCTACGGCCCGTATCTGTGGAGGCATGTCATTACATTGACATGTATAAATCTTTCTGATAAAGTGCATTTAGCCCTCTGTATGTTTCTCATTTTACATGAATTAATTAAACGTGTTGAATTTCCACGCATACACATGTAAAACTTTTAGTGCTAGTACATCCTGGCACTTGGGACGAGCTATATTTTAATAATTTACATCGCCTGACTTATTACTCAGACAGGAATTTCATGACAAGACAGATAACCCTGTGTCAGTTTTCCATGTACGTTTTTCACTTATATGATTGAGTTTTAAAGTGTTCATTAGGCCTAGTTCTCAGTTATTACTGTAAACATTGGTTCATGTCAATCTTATCTAATACTGACAGATGTTTCTATTACAGTAATGATAAAACCTTTTCATTCTACAGGGATATCTCCTCTCGTATCTTCTTGGAGGGGCAGTTTTGTTTTTAGTCAATGTTTATGTCATATTAGCTGTGAAGAAACTTCTAAGAAAAAATAGCACTCCTTCCATATCAAGAGACAATCACGTTCCGGATTCTCTCAACAGAGGGCCAATTTACGCATCTAACGTTAGCATTTACTTGCGAATAGGAGTTTTAGGTACTTTTTTTTTCTTTCAGGCGATAAACACGATTACTTACATCTTTATTTTCAATTATAAGATAATTGAAATAACGAAAAACGTTTCTTTTTTATATAATAAAAATAAGTAATATAATATATAGTATTTGAAATATTAAAATATACATAATCACAATAAAATACCGTTACTAATATCTCCAGTTTTGTTCTCACTAAATTAACGAATTGTAATTTTATAACACTAGTACTAATCTTTAGTTCACTTCTGATGTGAACATTAAATTAATCTTCTCTATCCCAGAAAAAATACTAACTGAAAAACAATATAATAGTAGTATCCCTCTGTTCGTTTTTTTTTTTGTAACTTATGAGTCTATAGACTTAAAGTCCCGAGGATTGAAATGTTCACTAATGGGTAAACATATCGCTGTATATATATACATGGAATTAATATTCTAAGACAATTTCCATCCCACGAACTCCACGCTGTTTAAAACTACTTTTATAGATCATTGACCCCCCAAGTAGTTGTCAAGGTCGTTTTACACATAGATGAAGGAGTGAAAATATAATAAGATGATAATAGTAACTTTAAACAGTACAGATCATTGACAGTATCAACCCCCCTCCCCTTTAGTTTTCGGAACGGGCAATTTGGTGTTTCTTGGAATGGAAGCTGCCGCCTTGTTTTCAACAAAGACCTCTTGTGTTGGACAGTTAACCCTACTTCAGCCTATTCTTCAGGGCGTTTTTACTTTACTCCAGATGCATTTTCTTCTAATAAATGTAAAGGTAAGAACTAAATAGATAGTCCCGTAGTTAAGAACTAAATAGATATTCCCGTAGTTAAGAGCTCTAGTCTCTCGGCAAACATAACAAAAGTTGAAAAATAATAAGTTATCTCTGGTTGTTATTTTATTTTACAGATTATTATCAAATCCCTCGGATGGCTACGTCACGTGATTATAATGCACTTGATCGTTGCCAATTTGATCGTATGGTTTCAACTTATCATACGGGAGACAGCTCGTGAATGGCAGATGGTTGATCACGTGACAATTCAGTCAACCAGTGAATACCCTCTTCATACCCATACTGTCACAGTTCATACATTTGATGAAAAGGGGGCTCATCAAGTTTTTAGTATGTATTAATATATATATTTTTTCTATTTACGTTCTAAGTGCTTTTTTCTATTTACGTCCTAAGTGTTTTTTTTATATATTTACGTCCAAAGTGCACGTTTTCTATTTACGTCCTAAGTGCCCGTTTTTCTATTTACGTCCAAAGTGCCTGTTTTCTATTTTATTATAAAGTAGTAACAATAACCGAACGTACAGTAGGATACTTGAAAAATAACTAAATATTGTCCCACGGTGGGTCAGCGCTAAAATCTGGGGCACGATTCCCGCTGTGATACAGAGTGCAGATAGCCTATTATGTAGTTTTGCGCTAAAGAACTGTTACATGCTTTACTGCAGTAACTAGTTGATACTGGTTTCGTTTGTTTATTTTTAAGCACAAAGCTACACAATGGGCTATCTGTGCTCTGCCCATCACGCGTATCAAACCCCGATTTTTTAGTGTCGTAAGCCTGCAAACTTATCGCTTAGCCACTGCGGTGAAACTAGCTGGTATGCCCTGAGTCTTATGTAATCTCAAGATAATTCAGGGCTCTCATTATATTATAAATTTTTTTCCCTTCAAATAGTTTGTTTGTTTGTTTTTGAATTTCGCGCAAAGCTACACGAGGGCTATCTGCGCTAGCCATCCCTAATTTAGCAGTGTAAGACTAGAGGGAAGGCAGCTAGTCATCACTACCCACCGCCAACTCTTGGGCTACTCTTTTACCAACGAATAGAGGGATTGACCGTCACATTATAACGCCCCCACGGCTGAAAGGGCGAGCATGTTTGGTGGTGCTGGGATTCGAACCCGCGACCCTCTGATTTCGAGTCGAGCGCCCTAACCACCTGGCCATGCCGGGCCGCCCCCTGCAAATAGAGCCAGACGCATCGCAGCAGTCACCATTTCAGGCTATAGGCCCGGTGGTCTACAGTTGGCGTCCAGTTACCGCAAAAATATATATAACAAATTGCGCTCTGCTCTTTGGGGCCTTATCTGCGTCATAAAGAACAACGGTGAAATACAGTAATCGATTAGAGTAACCAAAAATTTGGCGGAGGGTGCTGTTGACTAAATGTCTTCCCCGCTAGCCTTTCAGTTCAGAATTAGGGATGACAAGCCTTTGTGAAGTTTTGCGATTATAGCTGAAACAATCATTCCTCCAAATATTCGAGAGAAATTATCCTATTAGCTGTCTCGGTGAAAAACTATTGGTTGTTTGAGAAACACTGAATAACTGTAAAAGAGTTTGAACTAAGCTTACAACACATTTGTAAATGACCAGTTACGGAGTTCAATCAGTCAAGCTCATCAGACACAAGCACCGGATATTCACCGGATACACAAGCACCGGATATATATTTCAATATTTCCCTCTCGATATAACTTTAAATCGAACTGATATTGTGGTATAATATTTCCCTCTAGATATAACTTTAAATCGAACTGATATTGTGGTATAATATTTCCCTCTTGATATAACTTTAAATCGAACTGATATTGTGGTATAACATTTCCCTCTCGATATAACTTTAAATCGAACTGATACTGTGGTATAATATTTCCCTCTTGATATAACTTTAAATCGAACTGATATTGTGGTATAATATTTCCCTCTCGATATAACTTTAAATCGAACTGATATTGTGGTATAATATTTCCATCTAGATATAACTTTAAATTTAACTGATATTGTGATATAATATTTCCATCTAGATATAACTTTAAATTGAACTGATATTGTGGTATAATATTTCCCTCTCGATATAACTTTAAATCGTGAAAATATAACTTTAAATTGAAGTGATATTGTGGTATAGTATTTCACTGAACATATAACTTTAAATTAAACTGATATTGTGATATAATATTTCCCTCTAGATATAACTTTAAATTAAATTGATATTGTGGTGTAATATTCCACTGAAGATATAACTTTAAATTGAACTGATATTATGGTATATTATTTTACTGAAGATATAACTTTAAATCGAACTGATATTTTGATATAATATTTCCCTCTAGCTTCCCCCGTGTGTCGATGGCAAGAATTGAAACCTTCTAACAAGGAGGAAACCATGGCCTTGTTTGATTGCATAAAAAACTCCACTGCTGGTGATGTTTGGTGGAAAGCTTCACCTTTTCTTCACCCATTCCTCATTCAGTACAGTTTGTTAGCGGCTATGATTTGTCATTTCTTCTGGGCGAACATCGACTACACAAACCAGGACGGCGAATATGAAGTTTTTAAAGTGTCGAACACAAATACGTCGCCGTTTTGGAAGGTGGACTGTCAAAAAGCGTATGTGGGTCTCTTTTCTGGAATACTTCTTCTTATAGCTACCCTAGTCATTCTAATTATTGTCCTTCTGCCCGAAAGTCATGGAATCATAGGCTTTGACAGTCTTCTTACATTGGCTATATTTCACTGTGCCATTCTGGGATTTTCAGTAATCGTCATCTTCGTTGGACTGATACAGATTCGACAATTACGGCCAGAGCTGTGGAAGAACACTGGAACTAACGGGTTATTTCTTCACATCGGAATTCTTGCCGTTCACGCGTACGGGATTCTAACCCTAATTGTTGGAGGCTCAAAGCTCAATTCCAAGTATCATTTAATATCTTGCATCGATGGCGCTCTGTTACTGCTCCATTCTTGTCTGCAATCGTTGTTCATCCACCAGATGGAGCGTAGTTCCTGTGGCGGTGAAGAACAACTTAAACAGAAACGTCCAGGAAGAGAGATTGTAACGTTTTTGGCACTCAGCAACGGGGCACTTTGGGCTGTTGAAACTTTTACATCTCAAAACCATTTGACAAGTCAGCTTCAGTTAGAATTTTATGGAGTTATTCCTTGGGGGATATTTTCTCGCGTGCTTATACCTCTGGTTTCATACTATAGGTTTCAGTGCTTTGTAGTCCTAATGGATGCTTCAAAGTATACTTATAAGCACAACAGAGGCTGAGACAAGCAAGCCTAAAGGTAGAAAAACTGGACGTCAGTTAATCGCACATATGGTTATCGTAACACTTAACAGATAATCAAGTAGCGAGACAAACTTAATACAGTGTTTCTTTAAAGCTCTTGAACTGGAGATTTCTTATGTTCAAATCCTCTTTAACAAATAATATTAAAAAATAGCACTTTGTGTGTTGTATATTAACATTAATTTTTAGGTTAGTAACGAAAGAAGTCATGTAATTAGAACTTGGTATATCTTGCATATATCCAGCAAAACAGCTCAGATGTGAAAGTTTCACTTACTGCAAAAACAACAACGGAAACAAATGCTATAAAAAAAAGTGATGTTTCTGAAAACGAGAGCTGAAAACTGATGCTACTAAGTAACCTACGTCATCAACAGACGAGATAAAGTACGTGAAGAAGTAACGTATAGGAAGTTGGTCTCATTAAGTAAACGTTTTTATCTTTTAAGAAGCGGAAGCACGTGATTTTATATCCAACACAAGATAAAGAAGTTACATCGTGTTTAATAAGAAACAAGACTGTGTTATAAACCCTTTTCACGCTCTCGACATTAATATTTTTTTAACTCTCCGAAATATAGTTTTAGGCTTGATTAAAAGATGGCAACACACACAACAGTGCAATGAGTGTTATAGTATGCAATACAACACAATAAAGAATGGTCTGTGTATTGTATACGTCGCTAGCGAGATAAGAAAATCAACACCCAATACTTACCATAGAGAGGGGGAGAGACAAAATCTATAAAGGGTGATGCTACTTTTGGGGATGAGGTCTTGTATACCCTCGGAAAATTTTTGCGATTTTCACTAAGAATGGTGCATTTTGATTGTATCTGAGCCTGCTTTTTACGTCTTTTTAAGTATGTTTTATACATATAGGTGTGCAATTTAGCGGGCGCCATCGCACCACCTCACCCCTCCAAGCCTATGCGCATGTAAATTGTGTGCATTATTTGTTAAGGTGCAAGCTTTATCAATATTTAGTATGTTTAGTGATTGTCAGAAAACATAATATTTACGAAACGTAACCAGGAATTGTGGAACTTTAGATAGACCAGGAGTAGAAATAGCTTTTAAAGATGGTAGTAAAACTAGTCACTTGTACCCGTTTCCTTATGTAAAGCTTGTTGTTGTTGTGAACGAAGTGTTTTACAGTTAAATTTGAAAATTACTTGTTAACTTTCCGCTTTTCTTGATTATTATGTACAATTTTGTTAAAGAAAATATATAAAAAAGTTATTATTATGTCATTATAACATTCATGTAGCCTTTTAAGCTTTGGCTTAATAATTGTGAGACTTACGTCACTGTTAATTGTCTACAGCCTTTCCTTGTATAATCTTTAAGCCTAATTTTCACCTACTTTGCTTTTCCTAGAGCAATATTCTCTCATGATCATTCTTAGACCTACTTTGCACTCGGAATATCGTTAGAAAGGGCCATTAGAGATTTTAAGTTATTATGTTCATCTCTCACTTTTCGTAAGTTCTAAAGTTTTTTTAGAATACATTATTTTGGGATGTGGTCTCCTAAGATTATAGTAAAAGATTCTCACGTGTATCTTTTGCCAAGGTGCATAGAACGGTTATTGAGTTAGGCCTATTCATGCGTTTCGTGTATAAACTTAACTCAGAGCTAAACCCTAATGCAGAGGATCAACTTTAGAAAATCTTCTAAACGGCCGTTTTCTACCATACTTCATATGTTTTCTGAGATCTCATCCTGAATTAGTTCAGCATTAACCATCACAATATATCGTAATACCACGTCTGGCAACCGAAGGAACATGTCTCGTTGTCTCTATTTGTCGAAGTGTAGCGGATGTTTATTCAGTATGAAAAAAATCATGAATTCTGGGACGAACACTCGTAAAGCATAAAATTGTGGGAATTTTTCAAATTTTCACATGCGCACAAGCATTTTTCGTTGACATTACCCTACTTGGTATGTCATGGCGATGTAGAGATTTTCGTATACATATTTATAGAGGGAGTTCTTCATCCACAAAGTGACGATGTACAAGCTCTAGAACCTGACACAAAACCCATATTGTGCGCATGATTTTATAACTCAAGTCTCCTGTTTTTGTTTTCAAGAGGTTTCAATAATAATTGATTTTCAATGTAATTTTCAAGTGTGCTATCCATACTGATGTTGATGTAAATAATAAGTTATTGTCTTAAGTTTGTTTTGACTATTTATACAGATGTTATTTCACTAGGCACCGTCACTTAGTTTTGGTTAGCAACACTAGACTATGTTAGTTATTAATATATGAAAAACTAAGTTATGCCATACAAATGCTTTCTTTCATACAAAAATAAAGTATTTCATGGGTGTCACGTGCAGTGTTCATTCTAAATCAGACGTACCTGAATGAAACTTACTTTTCACAAACTAATAAGTGTCTGTAAACACCCAAAAAATAGTTTTTTTTTTTGTAGAACTATCCATTTTAAACACTGAATATTGTTGTTCTTCGTTTCACTCCACTAGAAGTTTATAATTCACATTTATATTTGCCTAAATAAGCTGTAATATTTCCATTTCTAAACCAACAAATGACAAAATTATGGCATTTTAGATAAATATTGTAATTACTGATAAATAACAGTAAGTCATTTCTATGAAGAAATCAATATTTGGTATTGTAAAATTTATAAACCTAAATTTAATTTGATCTTCCGTACAACTAAAAGACAGTTTGTGAATCACAAGATTTGTGATTTGTTGACCTAGGTGCCTCGTGATATTTTGTTCATGCGCACAAGATGTTTTTGTGTCAGATTCTAGACGCTATCTGGAGTCAATCGGACGTATCAATCGAGCTTTTCCATCGTACATGGTAAAAACACACTCGGATATAATTAGAAACCAAGTTTGGTATACTTTGGGTCACGTGACCCAAATGTCAAACTCAAAGCTAAAGCAACTTAGGTGACTAACAATAACAGAGTGCAAGTGTCCGAAGTTAAAGCTACAATGAGCACTAGTGTTTTTGGATTGAAACACATACACAAATAAAATTACATCTAGTTAATGAAATAAACAATAATAAGTTTCTATAATAACCAAAAAATAGCAGTAGTATTATCTAAAATATATCGCTTTACACGCATAATTCACGAGAATTGTCACACACGCCAAAAGATGGTTGTCTACATTTGAACAAGCGAGTATTTTCGCAAAGAGTTTGAATTTATTGGTTATTTTCAGTTTTCATGACAAAAAATTTTTTAGTTGGTGCAACATGATTACGGTATAACAAGTTTATTTAAACGGGTGAAAAGTGTAGCATTTACACAACTTACCGAGTCTATTTTTCAGCGTTATAATACATATTATTCGCCGCAGACGACACATCAAAAGCGATGTTTATTGCTACTGTTACTCCCGAGAGTGTTTTTATAGATAGAACGGAAAAGCCCGAAAGATGTTCCGATTAGATATCCAGTAAGATTTAGCGTCATCTGATGGACGTTTTGATCGGAACATTATTTAAGTAAGATATAAATAATTAAAACAAAAGTACTTCAAACTTCTGTGATGTTAAATGAGTTAATTTTGGTGCTTAAAATTTGTAGTGCCTCATTGATTTTTTTTTATTATTACCTATGATATACATATATTATAATCTACAAATATATAGTACATATCGAAGAAAATACTCACGTATGTTGATAGTTCATAAATCGATGAGTGAATTTATTATCTTATTTAAAGTTCACTCTGTTTAAGAACAGAAAAAAAAGATTTATTGACATAACTTCATTTTTACTAAAAGTTGAATTTTCTGTTCTCTTTCTGTTATTTCATAGATGATATATAATTAGCTGAATATTACTTGTTTAGTTTTATACATTTCGAATGCATTTTCTCTATCCTTTAATATATGTATTTACCATGAATGTTTTTAGCAATAGATGTCATTTTTATTTTAAAATAACGATCAAACCTAGTTTTGAATCACATGAAGATATTAGTTAAGTTAAAATAAAGTTAAACATTTTATATGCCTATTTTCTTTATTGAATTTGGAAATTACTAAGTGTCATCGTACAATCACGTTTATCGCTTGGATTATACAGATTTTGCTTTGAGCGTAGTTCCTACTCTACGGTAGAATACTTGGATGTTTATATCTAAGCCTCGTTTTCTGTAAGTTCTTTTTTTGTGTGTTCGTTTTTGAAGTAATATCAAACAAACTGATATTCTGCGATTATATTTTGGTAACTCAACAAATATTTCTTGATTTTAAATTTCCGATGAGGATTAGTTTATGTAGTGAGTATATACGGAACCAGAGAGAGCTAGTGATTGACTACACGATGAGATCAACCGTGGAGGTAAGACCGTTTTCAATAGGCTCGCGACATTGTTTTCAAAATTTCAAGAATAGATATTAATATGATGTCAACCGACACTTGTAAACTAGTAAGTCATAATTTGTTAGTAGGGAACTGACAATAGAAAAAAAAGATGTTAATTTTTAAGACTCGCAGTCTGATGCTCCTTCTCACACAAAATAAAAAAAGAAAAGAAAGAAAGTAAGCTGAGACTAAGTGCTTGCTTGTTCTAATAATCTAAACTATGAGATATCAAAAGCCGGAGGCCTCAATTCTTCCAGTCAAATTGCAACAAATAAATTCTTTGTTTTAAAGGACCCCAATTTTTTCTACGCTGACAAAGTCAATTAACGTAAGATTGAGTGTGACAGCTTTAAATATTTAGGCCTATTAATCAACGAGGGTTTGAATTTTGCTTGCACTTATTTTTCAATTCTTCAGAATGATATTTTAAAAAAGCGAAAAACTGGATTCAGTAAAGCTTTATTTATTTATCACTAACGTATACAATACCATAAAATAAGAAACAATTCATTCATTATGTTCTATTTTGTTTCAAATTCGACATGTAGGCATAGCATAATACCGAAACTAACTAAGTAATTAAATAGCGTAAAGTTGAAGTTGATTAATCTTTGAGTTGTTTTTCTTAAATTATTTGAATATACAAAACTAGAAAATAAAGAATTTGATTTGATAGTCTTTTTTTATGTTAAAACTCCATACATAGGTATAATAACCAGAAATAAACTTAGCAGAAAATATTTTGATTATCATATTCCTCAACGTGTTTATTAAAACTTCGACCAACTGGCCACTCATGAGCATCTGACAATAGTGAAAGGTTTTTAATAAAGTTCATTAAGTTGTCAGTAGGGTGACCTTAAGTACTTCTCTATATATTCTCATAAGCATTAAACCTTATAAATGTTTTGTTTTGATTGATAGTGTATGTAAGAACAATATATTTATAACAATAATTTGAGTATTTCTTCAGTGGGACATAACCAATAGTTTATAAAATGTTATGAAAGTCAGTTTCCCTCTGTGTAAGTTATCGCTACACAATGATCCAATGATAAGAATTTGACATGCATTGAAGATGAGCTTATATTACAGATTTCTTATCACCAAAGGTAAAATGAAAAATATAATCAATGACGTAAAGGCCTAATGCATTTTTTGATTGGCTGCTTCCTCTGCTGTAGACTTTAGTTTTGTCTATTAAAGGCTTGTCAGTATAGCTAGGGTCGGCAAACCAAATACATTCAGTTAGGCCTCACATGATGGTAGTGGTTATACAATATTTCTGGAATTTATAAGTCTTTCTTCACTCATCGTTTAATAACCAAAATTAATTTAGGTATGTGAATGATAATGTTGTACACTGTGGTATTATATAATGGACCAAATGTTTAATTATTATATTAACATAACCATTAAACAATTGGTTCACTGTATGAAACTGTTGCGTATCTTCTTGTTTGTTAATTTCCCGTAGAAATTCTTTCCGAGAAACTTCAGCGATACAAGTCCTTTTTTAATTAAAACTAGTTTATTATTTCTCGATACAACTTTATAATACACAGAATTTCCACAGTCAATACGTTTGCAATCTCGATAACAAAACACACACTTTATATTACCGTCACTACCGCTCACTTGACTCAATTATATGTCTCTATATCTATCTATCTGCCATTATATCTCCGCTTTATTTGCCGGGCTTATATACAATAAAAGAGGGCGCCTAGAAAAGACTAGAGTTGCCAGGAAAAGTCATGACCCTTCTAGAAACTTCAGCGATACAAGTCCTTTTTTAATTAAAACTAGTTTATTATTTCTCGATACAACTTTATAATACACAGAATTTCCATAGTCAATACGTTTGCAATCTCGATAACAAAACACACACTTTATATTACCGTCACTACCGCTCGCTTGACTCAATTATATGTCTCTATATCTATCTGCCATTATATCTCCGCTTTAGTTGCCGGGTTTATATACCAAAAAAGAGGGCGCCTGGAACAGACTAGAGTTGCCAGGAAAAGTCATGACCCTTCTAGAAACTCCAGCGCGCATGCTTCCAGCGTCGCGTGACTTCCGCTATCGTAACAATACCGAATAAAAGATTTGGCAAAATACAGTAACAGCAACTATTACAGTAGCCAAGTACTGATTTTAATGATTACATCTTTCGACTTATAGTATGGGTTGAAATATTGTAATTATTAAAATAAAAACTTACCTACTGTAAAACTTGTTATTGTATTTTTTAATAAATTAATTGGGTTAATAAGTTGTGAGTTTAGGACTTAAAAACATGATGAATAATATATAATGCATTTAATTATAATTAGAAATGTTGTTGTTTAGAGAAATGAGCACACCATTCCCTAATGCATTGGTATATTATATTTTCTGTACTGTTCTGGTGTTGTACTTTGTTTAAAATAATCTCTGACATTTTTATATCTGTATGTTAAAGTGATTTCCCGTAGTTTCAGTTAACCTAATCTTGGCTACCATGTAACTTATATAATACCAGATAAACTGGGCTACCATGTAACTTATATAATACCAGATAAACTGGGCTACCATGTAACTTATATAATACCAGATAAACTGGGCTACCATGTAACTTATATAATACCAGATAAACTGGGCTACCATGTAACTTATATAACACCAGATAAACTGGGCTACCATGTAACTTATATAACACCAGATAAACTGGGCTACCATGTAACTTATATAATACCAGATAAACTGGGCTACCATGTAACTTATATAATACCAGATAAATCTGCAGTATTTTTCACGCGTTAGAAACAATTCCATATTTAGAAGAAATTGTGATGACGATTCTTAGTTACCATATAACTCTAGTCACTTTATTAGGGTTCTTCTAATGTACTCTAGTTAAAAATTTGTTGACAGATGTCGCTTTAAAAACATAACTCACTTGATATCGAAAGCTCTAGATTTTTGTTATAAAAATCTCGTTAACTGCAGATTTTTTTTAAGTTCCTATTAATTTGAAAATTTGTAGATTCAAAATACTATTTCAGATCTATCTTTTGATCCAACACGTCATCGTCTTAGATGCCCTTTGTCAATACCAGAACTCATCAGTTGAGCAGAACGATGAGACACGAAATATTCTCCACAATGCTAGCTATATATGTATTACAATACTTTAAAAGTCAAGGTTGGCGAAACATTAGAAACCAATAGGACTACAATTTAAAAAAAATTAACTGCAGATGTTATATTTTTTTCACATTCATGTTGGTTTTTCGACACTTGTAACATTTTCTTTTCGCTGTTTCAGTTATCTAACAATGCTCATTGATAAGAAGTGTTGTAATCATTATATTTTATCCAAAAATTTAGATGATGTTTATCAAATATTAATCTCGCAATGTAGATGGCGCTAAGAAAAGCAAAAATCGTAAGTATGATTATCAATGGTTTTCGTTTACAAACAGTTGAACTTAACATATTATATTAGATAGAAGTAAGCAATATGTTATAGATTTCTATTTCTTTATGTACACACACACACACATATATACACACGAGTCCAAAGAAAATAATTAACACGTTAGTCAGTAACACATTGGACTATAAAAGCAGTTAAAACTAAAAGTGATAAATTGAGCCAAACGTTTAGAAGTAGGCTGACGGTTGTGACCCAATGAGTTAGAGTTTTAGCTAGCACTAAATAGGTTTTTTTTTACAAGCTCTAGAGTGTAAAAGTTGTGACGATCTTTACATGATTCGTGGTTTCAAACACGAAATAAAAGTTGAAGTTAACTTTACCATTAATTAAGCCTCAAACAGGATTTTCAAGAAGATCGTTATTACAGTAGGATTGACATATTATAATATGTTCTTCGTTGCTGTCACTCATGAATTTCTAGATTTAACTCAACCTGCATTGTTCGTCGTCGAAATTGTACAACGTTGTTAGTTATGCTCACTGCCGGGACCAAAACTCGAAAGTTAGTGATTAAAATTTCAAGCTTACTGGGAGGGGAAGGTATTGTTACGACAGCAGAAGTCACGTGACGCTACTGACGCATTGGGGCTGGTGGCTTGTGCGAGGAGTTTCTCGAATGATCGTGAATTTTCTAGTGAGTTCGGGACGCCACCTTTTTTAGTATATAAGCCTGGCAGATAAAGCCTGCGGGAGGATAAAATTGTATAGATAGATTGTAGATAGAGATAATTGAGTCAAGTGAACAGGAAGCACGGTAAGTAAAGTGTGTGAATCACTGTGATTTATAGCGTGTATTATAAAAGTTGTTAAATGTATTACAAAGTTTGTAACGAGAAAAAATAAACTAGTTTTAAACAAGAAGGAACTTGTACCGCTGAAGTTTCTCGGAAAGAATTT